CTGTTTTTTTTAGAACACCATGATTCATGTTGAACACCTCCCATTGAGCATTCAAAGCATCCAACCTTTTCTGTATGTATGTTCCTGACTTACGTGAATCAGAATCCTTTTTGAAGTTAGCCTCAATTTTAAGGATAGATTCAATGATTGTTCTCTGTTGTTGAAGTAGGTTCTCCATGGTTTAAGAACGATGTTGTAAATAGTTGGTTTCAGATACGTGTGACTGCGACTCTTACCGTAGTATGCACCTCAATCAAGCTGGTGAGACCCGCTTGTGGGAGGCCAGCAACCAAAGTGACACTACAGATAGAATCACGAATTACTCTTTTTTTTTTTTTTTTTTTCAAATACACTTTACTGTTGAACTATTGTAGACGTAATATGCAAGTCTTAGTTCACGTCGAAAACTCGAAGGACCAAAATGTAGGGGGTATTTTGTGAATTGTGACCCTCTACATATAATTGATATGTAGTATATTAATGTAGGTTGTATCTTCTACGTTACGGGATGTGGTAATTAAAACTGTGTCCGTTTCCGTAGGGAGCGTTTATTGTACTGAAAATACTTATGAATAAAAAATGTAATTATAGTGAACGTGTCGCGCGCGCAGGCGCGATATCAGCATTATTTTCTAAACTGTTGAAATATCATGTACTTGCTCGTACAATGTATGTTACAATTAACAACACAAAACAAATTAGAATTAGCTTAGTAGCGATCACCCTTCCCAGGGGTTATTAGTATCCATAAATTTCTTGAAATAATACTAGTTTTTACGGAATTTATCGCGTATATTTAACTTTTTAAATACCCGACGTTTCAAACGCTTTACAGCACTCATGGCACAGATCATGGTATAGCGGGATCATGGCGGGAGTCCCGCCCGTGACCATGAGTGCTGTAAAGCGTTCGAAACTTACGAATGTGTAGTGTTCGCGTAAATATAAGAAATCATTACATAAATTTTTTAATATTATAATCATTCTTTTCATACAAACTTAGTTTAATAAAGTTTTTGAACTTTGTGTATGTCAAATTTTGTATATTTTAGTATTTACAGAATGAATATCACTTATTTTTGTAAAACTACTTTTATTTTTGTGTACGTACATTACATTTTCATAAATATATCGAGAGGCCAGAGTTAATATATTAATTTCCTTAAATTTTTGTCTGAGCGACTGTTTTGGTTTTAAATCATATTTGCTCTAATGGCCCTCTTCTGTAAAAAAATATAATCCGTGTCAGTCGCCCGTCCCCATAGTAAAATACCATACGACATAATGCTATGGAAATAGCTAAAGCTGTTCTAGCTGTTTCAACACTGGTAAGCCATAAGCAAGGTTCTCGAGTGGCAGCCTCTTACCCGTAGCCACGCTGTAGGGCGCCCCCCACTAGATGGAGTGTGACGATCTGGTAAAGCATATTCGGTTACAATAAGAAATTGTCTTACAAAGAAATAAGTTCTTTTATCGTTATTGAATTTCTGCGTTAAGCGCCATCAATACCGAAGGCGATATAACCTCGAGACTAGACAACTGGAATATTCTCACCGACGACCTTCAGGCGGACGCCGATGCGATAAAAATCATCAGAATTCCTTTTCATATGTCTAAATTCCCACCTGTCTGTCTACTATGAAAATACGCGTTATGCTCGTGTTAACTATAAATAATATTCTATTTCTATTAACAACTTTAAATATTTATTTAAACTTATTTATAGTTTGCATGTTCACCGTGTGGGCGATGTAAGAATATCCACTATCCCATATCATCCCGCGGGTGTCGTAAAAGGCGACAGAGGGAAACAAATCAGATGGGCGGCAGCGTCTTCCTAATAACGACTATAAATAAAAAAACTGCGGTTGCCAACCTGCTTGCCAAGCCTGGCAACTATGCCAAATATTCCTCCTGTGAGGCAATCTATGGGGGAGGCCTGTGTTCAGCAGTGGACTTTAAAGTGATACCTCGAAAATTTGGTGGTTTTTCTATTTAACATATTTTTTTAAGTTTTATAGATTACAAACCAAATTTTGTTATATGATTTTTGACTATTTGACCTTGATTTGCATAAAAAAAAACACGATATCATGAAATTTTCTCGATAGAAAAAAAATTGCAAAGTAACCTCTAATTATTTACATTTTTCTATGACACCACAATATTCTTACGAATAAGTTCATGGAATTATTTTTAAGTCATAGTAAATAATCATATCTAAGTTCTCATAAACCAGTTTTTTATTCCATAACGAAGTTTTGTTAAAATAAATAAAAATGTTGTTTGGCGCTTACTTAGTTTTTCCGAACGCTTGCTCGGTATGGCTATCTCATAATTTGCGTACTATGAAGTCATTGCATCACTTTCATTTTGACACTCCCGCAGTCGTCCGTTAGCTTCACCGACAAAGGAATAAGCCACGCCCCCAAAACTTCGATTCATTTTCAAGGTATCCTCATATTAGGCAGTAATGGTCTTTAATATAATGGATTACCGCAAAGGAACGCCTGATTTTCGTTAAAATAGTATCCCAATTTTGCGTTATAAAATCGTTATTGCACCGCACATTGTTCTACATTTGGTACAGTTACGCCCAATAACACCTATGGCCCAGACGGACGCCGTAGACCGTTAATGTCTCGTTGGCCTAGTAGAGGTTAGCTCAACTACTGAGGTCCCGGGTTCGAATCTCGGGTCGGGGCTGAATCAGTTAAGAGATTTTTCTGTCGTTGGCTATATTTCACCTCTTTTGTTTAATTTATTCCGGATCGTGTTGTATGGTCGTCCCATCGGACTTTGAGAGTGAAGGAATAGTGGTACACACCTGTGCTTGCGTATAAACTCCTGTAAGTACTAGTTCTGTGTGTGTGCAGATGGCAAGAGTCTCTATTTAGACTGGCCGCCGTGACCGAAATTCGCTCTGGAGAACATTTAAGGCCAACGAATTTTATTTCAAGGACGTTACTTACGTTATGTTGTACGCATAAAGGTTACTTTCTTATTTGTCTGACGTTCCGGCCGGATTTAGAAATTGATTTTAAACTAATCTGCTACGGGCTTTGAAATTATGCTCATCAACTGTCCGCTGGGTTAAGTTGTCGTCGAAATCTCCCATTGACTGAAGGGTTTTACCTATTTCTATCTTCCATTAAGAATCAAAATGGATTCGTAGATGCGGATATTTTATATTATTTGGGGTGACAAACGAGCACACAGTCCACCTGATGGTAAGTGGATGCTGTGGCCCATAGACATCTAAATTTAACCTCGATTAAGAATCAAAATGCAGATGCGTTGTCACCCTTGAGGACTAAGATGGAATTACTCGATTCCAGTAAAACGGGTCTCCGGTTCTCTACACTCACCATATAAAACACAGTAACATTAAGCCGCTATTTTATGAGATGTATTCTATGTATTCTGTGACAGCGTGGTCCTTACTCGGTCGAGCAGACCCATTCCTGCTACATACATAATATAGCTGCAGCGTGGCTCTACCGCGTTTAAATCGGGAACTGGGGTTCATTCCCACTATGGGGCAATTCATGATGGGGTCCTTTGTTTAGATAAGCTTTTATAGGTAGTAATAAATTGATGAAAGGATGGATTATTACTCCTTTCTTACTCTTTCATAATCACTAAAAACAAACGGAACGGTGGTTCAAGTTAACAAGATACCTTGAAAATTAATCGTAGTTTTGGGGGCGTGGCTTATTCCTTTGTCGGTGAAGCTCACGGACGACTAAGGAAGTTTCAAAATTAAAGTTATGCAGTGACTTCATAGTTCATAATACGCAAATTATGAGGTAACTACCGAGCACGCACTAGGAAAAAACTAAGTAAGCGTCAAACAATTTTTTTTAACACAAATTTGCTATAGATTAAAAAAATGATTTATGAGAACCATCTGAGATGAGAACTTAGTTAAGATTATTTACTTATAAGTCATAATAATTCTACTACCTAATTCTATTACTTAAATTTTATAATATTATAACATTGAAGTAAAATTTGTGTAAGTACATAATATTATTCAACGTATCGTAAAAAATGTAGGTAAAAGCTGAGTAGATAAATAATTATAATATAAATCTTATAAGGTTAGGTACACGGACTTCCTAATATATTTAGCAAATAAGGTACCTAACTTCATTTAAAATTCACATATAAAATGTAGTACTTATATGGAAATATGATTATATGGACATATAGCCTATATTACAAAAGCCTGTGTACGTAATGAAAGAGCCGTTATCAAAATGGCTGCTGGCCGTGCCCGGCGTCAGACCGCGAGCGTGCGGTCGTTGACGCGGGCCATCGTTGGCGTGGCGCGTCTATTGATTTAGTCTATTGTAGGAACTATTCTCGCCATCTAGCGGCGACAGTGGGAAAATAATTTTAGCGATGTGTTAGCTAGATGGCGGTGATACACATCTTTATTTTTTTATTTTGTTATTGTCTGTCAAATATTTTTTTAATGAAACTACTTTCATTTTTAAAACAATACTTGCAATGCTATCAATCCGTGATAGAGCCACGCTGCAGCTATATTATAGTTGCAGCACCAATGGGTCGGCTCGACCGGAGAAGGACTACGCTGTTACAGAATACCAGCGTCAAATTGCAGCTCAATGCTGCTGTGTTACGTATGGTAGAGGACCGGAGACGCTTTTTACTGGAAACGAGGCATTTCGGCTTAGTCCTCAAATCAAGTTGGCAACGCATCTGCATGTTGATTTTTAATTGAGTATAGATGTAGATGTTTATGGGCCACAGCATCCACTAACCATCAGGTGGGCTGTGTGCTCGTTTGCCACCCTTATTCTATAAAAAAAACTAAGCTGTAATACTTGTGCAGTCAGCAGTCCCGATAGTGGTTTTGTACAGATTGTCCGTGACCGATGATGAATTTCCATGATGAAAAGCTAGGAGATGTTACTTACGACTAAAGTAATATAGGCCAATTGAGATGGCTTGAGCAATATAACACAATTAAGATGGTAAGTGAGGGCCCTCTGGCAAAACCAAGCTGTCTAAAACTAAGTTTTGTTTTTCTCAGCACGCCCGTAGCGCGACGCTGCACTCATGATACCGTATAAGTATATTAGTACTATAAGTGCAAACAGAAGAATTCTTTTAATTTGATCGCACTAAAACCTAATTTTGTTAAATAATGTGAGCGAATCCAGAATCCAGATTTTAAAACCATAATTAAATTTTATGTTTCGAACCCAAGAACTAAGAGCTCAGCAGAAGCTAAGAGTCACAGGATAATCATAAATGAAAAATTCCTGTTAGCATTTCTTATCACTAAACATATAATGCAAAAAGTTATTTATAGTATAAAATCATAAAAAACTTTTTTCACGAGTAAATTGAAGAATTGAAATTTATTTTGTTAATTTGATCTTCTACATGAATTAAACGTATGATTTTCTTCTTTGCAGTGCAAAGACTTCGAGAAAGTTGGTGCAACGATAGCCGTGACGCCATGTGACGTGGTCGAAGAGGCTGACATCACCTTCTCTTGCGTCGCCGATCCACAGGCTGCTAAGGAGGTGACTTGATTGACTAGAGTTAGCAATGGGGAAAACTTAGGGATCATATTAATTAAATAACGAAGGAAGCTAAAAAAGGAAGGCAAATCTATATTATATATTTTACTCAATAGTTTATAGTCTAAATCCGCGTCTGTTTTATTTGCCTAAAACTATAAAACCACTTACTTACCTACGATTTTGATAAAGCTTTCACTATCATTTAAAGAATTTTGGAGGATGTTGTTATTCATGCATATTTTAGCGAAGGATAATAATGTGTCGACGTTTTTAGAGCAAGTCTTAAAAATATTTCAGAAGTGAGTAATAAATAAGCTGGGGTTTCTTGTAATAAATAAGAATTTAAATTTTGTTAGCAAGTTTTTGAAGTTTTAAAATGCTATGCACATTAATATAACAAAAAGACTGCAGTTAGATACACATATTTGACAGTGTTGTGGCAGAGTAAGAATATCTTTTATCCTATATCGTCCTATGAGTGTTGCAAGAGGTGACAGAGGTGACAAACTGGGGTTGCTAAGCCGCCAGCCAAGCGTGGCATCTATGGCAAATATGGAACGATCTATATTTGTGGCCTAAATTCAGCAGTGTTCTTTGATAGGGATACACGTAGATATTTGACAGTGTAGTGGCGGTGTAAGCATATCCAATATCCCATTTCGTCTCGTGGGTGTCGTAAGAGGCGACAGGGGAAAACAAACCTTATAACAACTAGAAAAAAAAAACTGGGGCTCCCAAGTCGCCAATTTGATACAAGACAAGCTTGCCAACTATGACAAGTATCCCCCCTTGTGCAGCAATCTATAGTATATAGTAGATATATTGGATGTTTATACGTGGTAGGGCCACGCTGCAGCTATATTATGGTTGTAGCATGAATGGGTCGGCTTGACCGGGGAAGGACCACGCTCTCACAGAATACCAACGTAAAATAGCAGTTTAATGCTGCTGTGTTTAGTATGGTGAGTGTAGAGAACCGGAGACCCGTTTACTGGAATCGATGCATTCCATTTTAAGTCCTTAGGGGGGTCAAAAGCCGTGGCTCAGATGGTTAGCGCTCGCTTTAAATTTCACAGTACACGAGGAAACCGGGTTCGATCCCCGCCGGCACCAATGAAATTGTTAATTGCAATTTTAAGTGCTGATTTACCACGTGCTCGGCGGTGAAGGAAAACATCGTGAGGAAACCTGCATGTCTGAGGAATAAGAAAAAAATATTTCGAAGACATGTGAAGTTCGCCAACACGCATTGGGGCAGCGCGGCGGACACTTCGCTTAAGGTCTCTCAGCGAGCTATGGAGAGGGCGATGCTCGGGGGTTTTCTGCGTGATAAACTTAGAAACGAGGATATCCGCAGTAGAACTAGTATTTAAGCGACAGTAGCCTAATGGCAGGGCGTAGACCGCGAACTCAAAAAGGTCGTGGGTTCGAATCTGCCATTAGACTACTGGCGTGAACCACTCGTAACACAAGCAATTTAAGCTTACCACGAGTGGTTAAGGGGAATATTAGTAAGTGAATAAAACTATTATTTACGGATTTTATCGCGTTTAATTACTTTAATTTATTTTTTATTATTATCCCGACGTTTCGGGTGCTTTACAGCGCCCACGGTCACGGGGGGGGGGGGACTGAGATGTTTGACGTCCCAATGTCATAGTTAGTCCGGCTACCTTCAGTTTTTTAATATTAATTTTTGGTCCGATTTACGCAAAACGAGCTTATAGTATCATGAAGTCTTGCAGTGGTATGCTTGGGTTTGGGTTTAATTTTGTTAATTATAGGATCCCAAGCAGATGGCAGCACCCAACCATCTTCTCTATTGAAATTTGGATGTTTTTTAATTTCAATAGCCTCGCGTATCATCCTTGGTAGGAATCGGTGTTCTTTTGCGAGAATTTGTGGTTTATCAAATCTAATGTAATGGTGGGGACGATCTTGAACATGTTCGCAGACTGCAGACTTCCGAACATGTTCAAGATCGTCCCCACCATTACATTACATCAGTGACCATGGGCGCTGTAAAGCACCCGAAACGTCGGGATAATAATAAAAAATAAATTAAAGTAATTAAACGCGATAAAATCCGTAAATAATAGTTTTATTCAATGTGTAGTGTTCGCGTAAATTTAAGAAATCATAATATTAGTAATGTTTATAGCATTGTAAATATTCTTTTAATAAAAAAAAGAAAAATGAAAATGAAAGAACTAGAGTGACCGACATAACCCAACGGATTTGTAAGCTGAAGTGGCAAAGGGCCGCCCATATAACTCGAAGAACCGACAACCGATTGTTAAAAAGAATCTGGAGTGGCAGCCTCGTACCGGTAGGCGTAGTGTAGGGCGACCCCCACTAGATGGAGTGACGACCTGGTAAAACGTGCAGGAAATTGATGGATGCCGGTGGCTCAGAACCGCGCTTTGTGGCATTTCTTGGGGGAGGCCTATGTTCAGCAGTGGATTTGTGAACGGCTGTAATGATGATGTGTAACTAAGTTGATCTTAGAAAACGGAGAATCACTTGCTTATAGACATTTTTTGTAAAATAGTTTTTCTGTATATCTTCATCATGGTTAAAGACTAAGGATATGTATACCTTACAGTGGAATGGGACATTGTAGCTGATATTTCAGAGAAAGGAGATTATTTATTGGTTGTGACTTACAAAACGATTACTTATGATACTTGTGCCCAAATATTTAAACGCTGCTTAATTTTAAGGTGCCATTAAGTCTCGTGCGCTGTCTCTATCATTTTAAATCAAGGTGACTGTGACACCACGAAACTTAATCTTAAAATTGAGTTATTTGAATATTTGGCCATCATTAAATTCGTAAATAAATCAATCGATACTAAAACAATCAAGCTAATGCCGTTAACTGGTGCTGCGAACTAAAAATGTCTATAAAAGGTCCACGGGGCTTGGCATGGTATTAAATATGCGTTGACCTTTCCACGAGTAATAAAAAAGCGGGATTAGAGTGGAATGAGTTCTATGAATTTGCGATACGAATGTTACTTTGTGTTTGCCATTTAAGTCAATTGTTTTTAGTTAACTGTCGTAAATAATTACTTTTATTTAATTGATAAGTTTGTATACACGTATAATAGAAACATCTTAAAAAAAATGCATTCCACATTGCCTTAGATATTCAATATGTTATTTTACTTTTGATTAGAATTTTTAATTTGTATTGAAGCTAGTTTCCCTTCCTTTAGAATCTCTTCTATTCTTTTAAAAAAATTTCTTTAGAAAATCTTGTCAAATGTAGTCTATGTAATATGTATGTAAATGTGCATAGTATGAAATGTATTTTTATGTAGTATTTCTATCATTCTTCCTAAGAAATTAACTGATCCGTCATTTTTATAAGTTTACCTATATACGACCGGTTTAAAAATCGATGGGGAATAATAAATTTTCACTATATATATATATATATATATATATATATATATATATATATTCATTATGTAATAATAATGGTTGTACCTCGGGGGTTCCATTGCTGGTCCAGTTTTGTTCTTGGTTTAGTGCAATAAATGCATATATTGAATAATCAAATAAGCTTTTTTTTTAAAGTCAATCACCTAAAGTTCACGAATGTATTCATTTATTTATTCATTACAATATTAAAACTCCACTGCTGAATTGCACGGCAATCTACGCATAAAGCCCTCTGTTGCATCTTAAGTCATAACTAATAGATTTTATCCACTGTTTTTCCATCCATATTTACAATTTAATAAAGGCACGGGGCCGAAGATTTTAATAACATTTATCCATTCTATGGATGACATCAGTAATTCATAATGTTCATCATAATGCGATCGTTATTTAGATCTTAGACCTTCGTCCCGTAGTTAGTGTACAAGGCCTTCAAATGCTCCTTTCATAGTTGCTTGGTGAAAACCTATGAATAAAAAACAAGAATAATAGAAGCGTTTTCTATTGCCAATGCTTACAGGTTTTTAAAACAAAAACGCTTGTCCTTTCTAGATGGTATTCGGCAATTGCGGTGTACTACATTGCCCAACGCTGGAAGGGAAAGGCTATGTGGAGATGACCTCGATAGACGCTGACACTTCGCATGACATCGTGGAAGCCATCGGCGGTAAAGGTGGCCGATACTTGGAAGCACAGGCAAGTGTTTTTATACCCGAAATATAAACGTGAAATAGCAGCGCCATGCCGCAATATCATGTGGTGAATGTCCATCTTAGTCCTCAGGGGTCACAACGCATCTGTATTTTGAATCTTAATCGATGATAGGTGAAGATGTCTATGAGCCAGAGCATACACTTAACAACAGGTAGACTGTGTGGCCGTTTGTTATCCTCACTTCTTTAAAAAAAACCTCTTAATTAAGTTGATGACAAAAAACTCCTTAGTACTTAATGATATTTTGATGTAATGTCATAATTTTCAGAATGTTTTTAGATGAACACAAAACGCACTGCTTGTTAAAGTGCCGAAAGTGTACGCATAAAAACATTTTTAAATTTACAAGTTTCGTTGACACTGCTACAACTAATTCACTCTAAGAGGCTAGTTTTTCTTCAGAAATCTCGTTAAAACATTTGAGAACTCTTTAATTTATACTGGCCATTATACTTTTAATTTATTTCTATATATTTACTACTAAAACTTAGGTTAATTTTTTCTACCAATTAAAATTGAATATTAAAATATATCGTCATAATGTGTTATTTTAGTACGTTATAATGCCTATTATACAATCTTAATGTAGGAAATTTTATGTGGGTTATTTATATATTGGTATAAAATAAAGAATATAATAATTATCAACTGATCGACTGACTCATCCTTAACTACCCGTATCGGAAAGCAGACGCTCGGCCAGTCGACTTAACACGCATTCTAACCAATTGGTTTGCTACATCGGTCGTCTGCTACAGCATAGGATGTGGATTAAGTTGCCGACATCTGTCTTTCCATCCGATGACAGTGTTGTTGTCTTCAAAGCAAGAGTGAATAGACTATTGTTAATTCAGTGCGCTATTATCTCCCGCATCACCACGTACGATTAAAATAGTTAAAAAAACTTTTTTTAGAAATACTAGCTTAGAATAGTTCCAAAATATGGGAAATAGGTTGCGATGCAGTAGGCTTAGTTTTATGATAATTCGAAGCTCCTATCACAGTTGTTGTAAATAAATATCAGCCAAATATGAGGCGGAGTTAGTGCTGAAAGTGTGTGATAATTTACAGATCCAGGGCTCAAAGACGCAAGCGGAGGAGGGGACGCTGATCATCCTGGCGGCGGGCGACCGCTCGTTGTTCGACGACTGCCAGTCCTGCTTCAAGGCCATGAGCAAGAACTCCTTTTACCTTGGTAGTAGTGCGCGGCTCCAATTCCTTGCACGATTTGAATTTTATCAACTAATGCCCAAATACTCAAATGCTGCCCAACTTTAAGACGCCGTTAAGTCTCGTGCTGTCTCTCACTTTAAGTCAAAGTGACTGTGACACCATGGTATAGCTATGCTGCAGCTATATTATGGTTGTGTCACGAATGCGTTGGCTCGACCGGGGAAGGACCACGCACGCGCGTTTTTACGGTGCTCGATGCAAAGCAAAGTTAAATGCTGCTGTGTTTCACATGGTGAGTGTAGAGAACCGGAGACTTTTTTTACTGGATACGAGGCATTCCATGGAATTATTTCATTCCATCTTAGTCTTTAGGATTGGCAACACATCTGAATTTTGATCCTTAATCGAGGATAAAATGTAGATGTCTCTGGGCTATAGCACCCACTTACCATCAGGTGAACTGTGTGCTCGCTTTTCACCCTTATTCTATAAAAAAAGCTCCTAGATCTAACGATGTTGTGACGATCAATTAAACGCGATATATTCATTAAGTTTTCTTGATCCTCAGCCCGCCAAAGTCAACGGCTGGATATGAGCCTACCTCGTTGTACGGAGAGGTTTTGCTTGTGTTCATTGCTTCCGTATATTTCTAATCTATTATATTCCGTATATTCTAGTATTTACAGAGTGTATGTCACACATGTATGCACACAACATCTACGGACTATTTTAAATATCGTGAGTTAAAATGATGGGATTCCTCAGTGAATTTACGCCATTATGATATGTTATCACTCAGGGCTCAATTCTTGGTCCCACTCTTTTTCTTCTAATAATCAATTTTGTAAATCAGTTATCTCAGCTCTCCATTCCTAATTGCAATATTTTCGCATATAACGATTACACTGTTTTGTATATCTCCGACTCAAATTGGAACCTAGTGAAATCAAAAGCAGAACCAGAAACAGCACTTCTGGTAGTAGATAGCAGATTTTTTTAAAATTATGTATGTCCTTTTTTTCATCAGATCACCCACTAAACCTTCATTACCGTTCAATATCAAAATACATAAATAGTGTTCCACTGCAACAAGCACCTAACACTGTAAAATATCTGGATATAATCTTAGACGAACTTATAAGTTGGAAATTCCAGGTATAAAATCTTTCATCAAGATCATCAAAGATCAAGATCAAGACGGCATATTTATACAGGAAGTTGGAAAGGTCGATGCAAAGTATTGAGATGGGGGACAGCAGTGGCGAAGCTAGTGCTCCAAACTAGGAACAGCCCAAGATATGGTTTTGTTGTTTTATAAAAAATACACCAATCTTGATCTGTCTCCACTCTTCAGTTTCATGTTCATTGCTGTCGAGGATGTGTTTAACAAAGCACACAGAAGGCGTACCACTGCTAGATAGATTGTATGACATATCAGTAATTGCATATCTTCGGTGGCTTTGAAAAAAGCCGTTTGGGTTTGCTTGAGCGAAAGAAAAAGATATTATACATGAACAAAGTACAAACTATGAACAAAATTAAAAAAAAAATTATATTCTAAATCGAATCGTCTCTCTTTCTTAAGGAAAGATTTAATTAAGTCCGCGTAAAATGTTGGTGTACGTTTTAATTGTACCAATAACTAACTTAATTTATAGTGGTAGAGCTGTGCAGTTATATGTAGTATAGTTAGGTTGGGGTTGGGCTGTGGATTGTTAAAACGTTTTTCAATTGCGACAATTGATAAGTCTGGAAGACGCTCTTGATTTGACGCATTTGCAGCAATTGGTGTGGTATGTACCGCGTAGTGGCGAAGTTAGAATATCCGCTGCCCCATGTCATCCCGCGGGTGTCGTGAGAGGCGACAGAGGGAGACTGATTAGGAGATTGACAGCAGGGACTTCATTACAACTACTTAAAATAAAATAAAAAGTGGCTGTAAACCAGTTTGGCAAGGGTGGCAAATATCTCTTTCACGAGGCAATCTATGGAGGAAGCCTATGTTCAGCAATGGACGTTTGTGAAACATTTGAAAACGAAAGGTGTTGAGCAGAACGGCGGTTCCGCAGGCGATATCGGCAACGCGTCGAAGATGAACGCCGTGCTGCAGGTGGTGGGTGGCGTGTCGCTGGCCGCGCTCGCCGAGGGCCTGGCGCTGGCCGACCGCGCCGGCCTCAGCCAGGCCGACCTGCTTGACGTGTTGGCGCTCACGCCGCTTGCCTCGCCGCACCTCATCCTCAAGGGCAGAGGTACGCACTGCACACTTCCTCCGCATCAACGCCTCCTCCGCAACTCAGCCAGGCCGACCTGCTTGACGTGTTGGCGCTCACGCCGCTTGCCTCGCCGCACCTCATCCTCAAGGGCAGGGGTACGCACTGCACACTTCCTCCGCCTCAACGCCTCCTCCGCAACTCAGCCAGGCCGACCTGCTTGACGTGCTGGCGCTCACGCCGCTTGCCTCGCCGCACCTCATCCTCAAGGGCAGAGGTACGCACTGCACACTTCCTCCGCATCAACGCCTCCTCCGCAACTCAGCCAGGCCGACCTGCTTGACGTGCTGGCGCTCACGCCGCTTGCCTCGCCGCACCTCATCCTCAAGGGCAGAGGTACGCACTGCACACTTCCTCCGCATCAACGCCTCCTCCGCAACTCAGCCAGGCCGACCTGCTTGACGTGTTGGCGCTCACGCCGCTTGCCTCGCCGCACCTCATCCTCAAGGGCAGAGGTACCAACTGCACACTTTCTCCGCCTCAACGCCTCCTTCGCAACTCAGCCAGGCCGACCTGCTTGACGTGCTGGCGCTCACGCCGCTTGCCTCGCCGCACCTCATCCTCAAGGGCAGAGGTACGCACTGCACACTTCCTCCGCCTCAACGCCTCCTTCGCAACTCAGCCAGGCCGACCTGCTTGACGTGCTGGCGCTCACGCCGCTTGCCTCGCCGCACCTCATCCTCAAGGGCAGAGGTACGCACTGCACACTTCCTCCGCCTCAACGCCTCCTTCGCAACTCAGCCAGGCCGACCTGCTTGACGTGCTGGCGCTCACGCCGCTTGCCTCGCCGCACCTCATCCTCAAGGGCAGAGGTACGCACTGCACACTTCCTCCGCATCAACGCCTCCTCCGCAACTCAGCCAGGCCGACCTGCTTGACGTGCTGGCGCTCACGCCGCTTGCCTCTCCGCACCTCATCGTTAAGGGCAGAGGTACATACTGCACACTGCCCCCGCCTGGGCACTGGTTGCTCTTTGGTGAAGATTTATGGTTCTGTTAAGTGTCATATAATGGCTTGGTTGGTTTTTAACATACGCAAAGTGCAGACTTCCTTCAGCGTCAGTCTTACGTTAATTACGTATGTTCTTTCAGCGGATTAAAAATTTTTTATGGGCCGTAAAAGAATTAATTTATTTTATTTTATCATATGAGTATGGTATGTAAAACAAATACATAACGTAGTAATTATAAGGTGTTTATTTCGTTGAAAAACATATATTTTGTTGTTGTATGTCTCACGCTCGGCTTGCAAATTATTTTTATGTTTTCCATAAAATTAATATAATTTGCGATACATTTGTGTGTAAATTGATATTTTATATGAAATGGAATATATCTTTTAAAGCCGATTAAGTTGGGTCTACATACAAATAGCGATGGCACTGCAAAATAATTGTAAATTATGTAATTGATCAGGAAGCCTAGGCAAAAAAAAAATTGTTGAAAATTATGTAAAAGCTGGCAACAATTTCCTTGGTGTTGCAATTGTTCATGGATAGCGGTAGTCACTTACCATCAGATGAGCCGCAACACGTTTGCCCCTTTGCTAAAAAAAATTTATAGACTAAAATAATTAAACATTTATAAATATATTTTATACGTAGTAGAGCCACACTGCAGTTATATAAGTAGTTGTAGCACGAATGGGTCGGCTCGACCGGGGAGGGACCACGCTCTCACAGAATACCAGCGTGGAATAGTAGCTTAATGCTGCTGTATTTCATATGGTGAGTGTAGAGACCGGAGACCCTTTTTAATGGAAACGAGGCATTCCATTTTAGTCCTCACGGGTCACGCATCATCTGCATTTTGATTTGTAATCGAGGATAGATGTAGATGTCTATGGGCCGCAGCCACTACATACCATCAGGTGTGCTCGTTTGTCAGCCTATCCTATAAAAAAAATAATTACAAATTGTAATTGTTCAATTATTTTGTGACATATTGTTGCAGTGCGAACAAAATTTGTGTGCCGACACAATTACAATTTGTAATTATTTTTTTAGTCGGCACTCTACTTAATCGAGTAAACTTTATCTTCGCTGGACGCCATAGTTGTGCAACCAACGTTCAGCAAGAGATGTGATAAACTTATTACCATTATTTCAGAAGCATAAATAAATAAGTTTTTAATCCAAGCTCCTAAACATATTCTCTCTTTTCCCACAGCAATGATTGAATCATCATACTCCACGCACCAGCCGCTCACACATATGCAGAAGGACCTAAAGCTGGCGTTAGGTCTTGGGGACGCCCTGGAACAATCTCTACCTCTAACCGCAACAACTAATGAAATCTTCAAGCACGCGAAACGACTCGGCTATGCGAATCACGACGTTGCTGCTGTATACATAAGGGCTAGATTCTGATCACATGATCTGTTAAAGGGATGCCTTACTTCTGGCAGCGGGGACCGTAAATCATAAGTTCGCGATATATATAAATTCATTATTCAGTGTGTAAATATGTAGGGGGACATTTAATCCAGGCTAAGACCAACATTAAGCAAATTTTGCTCAAGAAATTCATTGTTTCACTACACTGGATGTGTTGTTAACCCTGTATCTCTGCCACTGAATCCAAACCCAACTCGGATCTTACTAAGTGTTAACATAGATGTAATAAGGCAAAAATGGTGGGTGGCATACATATGCCACAATATACAAATACAAAATTTAAGCCCAGTACGGAGAGCTCTTAGTAATCTATTAATTAGACACTCACTCAATATGCTAATCATATTTATTAAATACACCATAGTCTACTACTGGCTTCCTCCATCGAATGCCTCATTGAGATTTTTCTGAATTGGATTCTCAAAGTATTAAAAGAAACCTCTAAAATTAATCTTAACAAATAAATAAAATTAAAGTGTTTCCGTGTTTGCAAATGTTTCTTTTAATACAAAGATATTACTTATAATATCAGATTATGTATAGTATTAGGAAGTATGTCATAAATTTGGTAAGAAAATAAATAAAATCATAAAAACTCAAAGTAATATTGTGGAAAGCACTATTTTTGTGAAGTACAAAGTACATAATATGATTTCTTATTTACGCGAATACTACACATATAATAAAACATTTTTAGCCTGAATAAATATTCTGATTACCCGACTATTCCGAACGTAATTTTTTTCTTTTTTCAGAAAACTTTTTTACGCAATCACTTGAAATTTCAAGCTTGTTTAATGACGAAAGTATCGTTTTAAGCAACCTACTGACTATGATGACTTTGAGTGTTGCTATAAATACCAGGTGAAATGTAGCAAAATATAATAAAATATTGATGTATTATTATTTTTATGAGGATGTGATAATCCATATATTAAATTGTATTTAATCTGCTATTCGTTATATTTCATTTGACTACGAACAAAAGATTTCTTAACTGATAATTATTAAATAAAGGGATCAAAGAAAAGTGACTATTTTCCTAATCTTTCGACATCCTTCGTTATAATTTTAAAGCCTTATTTTAAACTTAAAACTGGACGATACAGGTGATAAATTGCATAATAAATTACACATACATAAGTTGCACATGGATAATATATCCAGACCCGGAATTATATTTTTTAGGCCATACAAATACGCGGTCCGTGCTCCTGCACGGCTTTGAACCTGCGGCTCTTAGCGCCGAGCACAGAAGTTTGCAATTGGTAAGAGGGTGGTAAAATCCAGATGGTTTGATAGGCAGCTGAAAAGTCCTTCATCGTTAATTTTTGCTTTTTAATTTAATATGTACAGTATCCGGCGATAAATATTGCACATCGACTTTTGGAAAGAGACAATCGGCTAATTTCGGCTTCGTAGAGTGTTATCTCTGTCGCACGAAATACAAACAGTCCGGTATCTACGTCGAACGTCAAAACGTCACATAGGTAGTGTGCGACAGAGATAACGCTCTACGAAGCCGAAATTAGCTGATTGTCTCTTTCCAAAGGTCGATGTGCAATATTTATCGCCGGGTACTGTACTGCATAAGTAGAATTGAACAATAATTTCAATCTCATGGCCCACCCAATATATTGTGTTAATTTTAATCTAACAATAAAATACTTTTGTAAGCAATGTAAACCGTGTTTTGAAACTAAACTGTTTTTAGAAAGTTGTAACTTATATCAAGTGTCTTTCCTTTAATGTGATTAAAATTAATTTCTGCGTTCTTGTATAAAAAAGTAAAGTAAAGTTACAGCCTATATACGTCCCACTGCTGAGCACAGGCCTCCCCTCATTTATGAGAGGGTTTTTAGTTTCTTGTATAAAAATATGTTTTTAATTAAAATTGTGTTTTGAAAATGGTGAGCGTGGAGTGTGATTGCCACGCTTGATGATTGATGATTACGTCAATGACAGTTACTATAATATGATGATTAAACGATACAAATACCTTTAATGCACTCATCGGTAGGTATTATGTAAGTGTTAACAAAATGAAAGTGTAAAATACCTTCGTAGAGTAAAAGTAATGGTAATTTAGTAATTCAATGAATTGATGGGTGAAACATTTAAAAATGTATCACATTATTTTTAAAAATAAAATATTTTTATTCATTATAAATTAAAATAATTACGTAATTTAATCTCTTAGTAAAATAATATTTGTAAAGTATTGTTCAACTAAGAATCAAAAAGCAAAATGGCTATTAAATCACTATGTATCTGGCCAAGCCTGCCACAGTCTATGTGTAAGTGCCCATGTCAGAAGTAGCATCTCAACGCAGTTACGACCAATTGTTAGTTATTTTGTAACTCGCTAAATTTATAAGTATGGATTGATTGATGTGAAGAATACAATTTCATATTGTTGACTCCTTGTTCTTATAGGTAGAATCATTAGTGACATTTGACCGTTTGAGACTTTGGTTTGTATAAAGGATCTTGACGAATATATAAAAAAATTAAACAAAGCTTTTAATTTTAAAAATCAGATTTTACAAAGTCATTTTTTATTCGAAAAAAATTAAGAAAAATCATTTAGTTATTTTAAGTTATGCTAAGATGGACAAATTAAGTGCACTTTGTGTCTGTAGCATGTAAGTATGAACACTATTATTTGGTTAGGGTTTAACGTTATAATTATAACTAATAGTTCCAAAGTGTATGTAAGTGTCATTTTTTTATTTAAATCTCGAATTCCTTGCTGTTTAATATATGATACAAGTTTCATCGCTGCAAATATATTTGGTTTATTAAATCTGCTTCAATTACATTTTAAAATTGAAATTATTTAGTACATCTACGAGTATTATGCCTTTGGATGTAACAATGTTTAAAAATAAATTGAACTTCTTTAAGCACTATTTGATGTTTATAAGCACTAAAATAAATAATTATACAAACTTTTGTTTATTTGTGTAAACGTTTTTAATTTTACATAAATATGTGACAACAGTTGATATTAAATAAAAAGTTTGCCGCCACTCAATAAAGAAATTTTAAGTTATATAATCGGCAAGCCATATTAAGGTCTTTAGTTGAATTTAGTAAAAACATTTTTCTGTAATGTGCACATTTTCAACAAAAATACATATTTAACAAAATAAATAAGTTTATTAATAATTGTTTTTCTTTCATTCAAAGATTTTCTGCCTAATTATTAGAAATGAAATTTGGACTGGCATTGGTTGTGGCATAAGACGTTTCGGGAAATCTTGAACCCCGCATGACTAAAAATTATAACTAAACTTGTTGCTCGTAATTAGAATCTATCATATTTCTTCTCATGGGTGTCGTAAGGGGTAGAGTAGAATCTAATGGTTTGTACTCGTAATAGTTCCTTATAATTATGTCATCTTCATAATATCAGTTATAAACATTAATAAGATCATAGAATATATATAACTATCAACACCAGTGGTGAAATACTTAGCAGGGTTAGCCAAGTTGACTTTTTACGATCGCTTAACGTTGGTTATTAGCGTCAACGATTCTTAAATATTTTTTTTTTAATTTTCTAACTACTTATAAAAAAATCAAATTACTTTTTATAGTTTTATTTTATTATATTCGTCATCATTACAGCCCTTCACAAGTCTACCGATAAACACAGGCCAAGAAATGCTACAAAGCACGATCCTGAGCCACCTGCATCCATCGACAATTCAGTATTTTAAGACTACGCGTTTTCACTACACGAGTACTCTCGGACCCAGTGTGTTGGATGCCTACTCGGACGCTACTCGTGTGTAAACAAGTAATCCGAGCGCACTCGGACAGTGTCATCCGATCAGAGTGGAGTCGGATGAGGTTCTATTTTTACGAGTAAACTCGGATAATTTTATGGTGGCAAAATGGCGCCAACTAAAAAAAAAGTGGAAAAAACATGTTACTCTGCGGTTTGTGGAACTATATAGGAAGAAGTGTTGTGGAACGTGAAATTAACTGAATATATAAACAAAATTCCGTGTTTCCTCTATGCATCATAGAGCATCTAATACCGAAGGTAAAAACAGGGATATAGAGCATTTCGGTACTCGAAAGTGACTCTAGGGTACGAAAACTGTCACCCGTAGCTAGATATCTTAATACTATTTGAAGTTTAACTTTAGTAGGTATTGCTTTCCTCAAATGGGTATCTGATTTCTGTATTCTTGGTGTTACTTTTTCTAGCAGATACTCAAATTGTTCGCTGTTCAATCTCAAATGATTTCTAAAAGTGGTTTTAACTTCCTCTTCCACTTCTCGAATAAAATTGTTTGAAGCACCTAGTTCGTCACCTCCTAAAATCCAGTTCCAAATTTTTCGCTTGCTTTGATTTTTTTTTCTTTACATGGACTTGAACTTCAGTGATTAACATATCTGCCACAACTTCTATACCTCGCAGCAGTTGATCAGCCGTTATCGCGTACAAAGAGACATAATTAAATGCTTCTTTGACGCTGATGAACTCGTAACGTGTCAACCAATTTCAGAGTAGACTCCTATACGATCTAGCTCGTATGAACGCACTCGGTCCGAGAGTACTCGTAAAGTGAAAACGCGGCTTAATTTAATGCGACTATTACATTAGTTTTCTTGCGAACGTCTTTTAGTTTTAGAATATTTAGTTTTAGAAATTTAGAATACTTCTTTCCATTCCATGTTGACATGTTTGTATTTAATTCCATGTTTGTCTGTTGAAGATCCATTTTTGGCAGCTATATGTGAGACAGAGTCTTTACGTGGTAGAGCCATGCTGCAGTTACATTAGTAGTATAGTTGTGGGACGAATGGGTCGGCTCGACCGGGGAAGGACCACGCTCACAAGGAATACCAGCGTAAAATAGTAGCTTAATGCTGCTGCGTTTCGTATGGTGAGTTTAGAGAACCGGAGACCCTTTTTACTGGAAACGAGGCATTCCATCTCAGTCCTCACGGGTGAC